TCAATGAAGCAAAGTGACTTTTTTTGGCCCCCCTGTATTCGTTTAGTTCCCTTCTATGTTCGGGTAGCCGCTATTCTTTATAGCTTTGCACTCTGTCCTTGTGGCACGACCATGGAAGGGAATTCAAGCAGTCACGTAACGACTAATGCAGAACCCGACCAAAAGCAGGGTACATCGTCGATGGGAAACCCTCAGCGATGATGGTGCGTTGAAGTCGCTGGGGAGAAGCGGTATTCAGCTAGCGGAGAAGGGTCTTTAAATAAGATGTTTCGGCAAAAAAAATCGAGCCCGCTAATGACGACGGTTTTAGGTGGTATTGGTCGAGAATAGACAATGTATGACCAAAAATAGACATAAGTGTCTACCATGTCCTTGTCTACATGAAATCCGATGCTCCAATCGAAAGGGTAGTGCAAATTGAGAAACGTCGCGCCCATTGCCGCGCGCGACGAAGCGGCAAGTTTACGATCCTCTTGCCCGTCTCCCCAGTCGACCAGGTAGTGCAAAATCGGTAGTGGGATGACGTGAGAAAATGGGTGAATTGCTAGTGAGGTTGAAGTAGCAGGCATCCTTGAGGCAACGGTTGAGGGGCTTCTACATGACGACTAATTTTCCTCTTCACCTGTTGGGTAGTCCTTAACGTTAGCACGCACTAGTGCTACAATGGGAAGTTTCACGAGCTCATCAAACATGGTGGTGGTAATCGCTGAAGGCGTGTAACTGAGTTGAACGTGACCGCATCTTGCAACGTTGTTCAATGTGTTTACTACTGCAGAAGGCAACAGGTCCACATTTCGGGTTGGTACAGGGATGATCTCGGGTTGATTGTTTTTGGCAAAAAAAAGTTCATCGGTATGATCCTTTCCGCCTCATTTTAACTCATTTTCATTTCATTTTAACCTCCAAACTCGATCTACTCAAAAAATCTACGTAACTTTGCTTGGTCAATTTAGCCTCTGAATGGTGTATACCTTCCGTGGAGCTCGTGTTTCCTCTTCTTTGGCGAGTACTTCATAGGCTTTCAGATCGAAATTGTTCTTCGTAGCAATATCAAGTGCTTCCTTTGGAATCTCCATTTCCCTTAAATTTCAAACGATTATTCTATGTACTATGTTAATATTGTGCTGCCCCTGAGCCTCATTGCAATCTGGATGGTAATTGGCAGATGTTGAATGTTAAAAGCAAATGGAGGAGGCGCCAAAAATTTCATTGCCAAAATAAAAATCCAAATTTCCAAACTTCTTGAGTTCTTCTTGCAATTTGAAATTTATTGAGTGCCTCTTTTATGTGTTTAATATTCGATTATTCTACTATCAAATTACTAGGAAATAACAAATCGAGGAGCAAAACTTCTATTCAAAATGCTCAAAAGATTGAATTATTCCAAGAAGTTTTTCAACCTTTTATCGGCAGTATTTCTGAGCACCTTTTCCAGTGCTGAAATACTTGTGATTTTACACTAAATATTTTCAGAAGTCCATGCCTTACAAAGGATGCTACGCATTCGTAGACGTTGATGGGAAATGTTTTGGGAGCTTTCTGAATCTTCTGGAATTCCTTGAGCTTTTCTGGAAATTTTTGGGAATTTTAAAAAATTCAAAAGCCTCAAGCTGTTATCGGCTTTCAGGCCTGTGGTTTCGGGGCAGCACAATACTCTTGTGCTTAAGTGCCGAATTAATGCTAAATTCAAGACAAATGTCGTTTTCTGCGTGCGTGGTCTGTTTGAGAAAAGGATAAGAGGATAAAGTCTTAGTCGTTAATGAACCCTTTTGTGAGATCGGCACACATTCTATTTCGAAGAATCGTAGTGGCTGTATATGGGGGAAGAAGGTGGAGGGGGTGAGGGTGGAGCAAGGGGTCTAGCTGCTATGTAAGCCAGTGTTCTTGCCATCCCTGACAAATCTGGTACCAATTTACCTTCCCTGGAAGGTAGAAGGCTTGGTAGCCCTGGGCTGGAGCCGGTCCGGTATTGGACCTCTGGATGGCATACCTGGTAAGCGTGGCACTTGCCTTCATACAAATTGAGAAAAGATTCCCATGATAGTCTCAACTGTTGCTGTTAGAGCGCAAAGAACATAAGGATGAGCACTGAGTGAATATTTGTTCATTCAGAGATTTTATCCTGCATGCGGAGCTATTTGGACCGGTGAGCTTTTCTCACTGATATGTCTTCGTTCCTGAATTGGCACCGAGGAAGGGTGCACGAACGATGAAGGCTCGAAGGTCCAAGTGACCCAGCCCTTGTGACCATCTCCTCATATGCCTTTGAGGAAATTGTAAATAATAAACAAGCGCATTGGAGAAAGGGTGGCTCCACAAGTACTTGATGAAGGAAGCTCTATTAATAGCTACTCAAGAAAATCTGCACATACTTGTGCTCTCTGCCGTACAGAATCCTTCGAACTTCTTCATACGTCGGACCTTTGAGGGCCTCCTTCAATGCGGCATCAACGCTATCCAGTTGAAAGGCAGACGACATTTTACCTTAACAAGAGCATTTTTCGGTGGAATCTGACCATGAGCCCAAAGGGATTCCAAGGAAAAGTATGCAAATGCAGCTCAAACTGAGGTCATAAACTGGTTCCAGAGAGCTGCACATTAATTGTCGCAATGACGTAGCACTGGAGATAACGAAATATGGAAAGACTGCAATTCGGCAATAGAAATCAAAAAAAATTCGTGAAGATTCTAAATTCCTAAAACTCCCTCATAGGAGCGTTTGAAAGCTCGGCAGCGTTACAACTCAAGGTAAGGATGGTAACATCATAAGACTGCTGTCTAGTCTTATGTCATTGCTATTGGAGGCTTATGTCTATAAGCCTCCAATAGCAAAGACATACAAGGTGAGGCTAGTCAGCGCCTGCTCGCCAACTGCGAACCGCGTCGAGGCTGACCCAGTCTGCTGATTAACTGTTAGGTAAGCCAGCAGAACGGTACAGTTTGCGATAGCCTGGACTGTTGATGTAGACTCATTCTTCAAAACATTAATCGTATCAGCGACTCCTTATCTGCTCGGCGCTTCTGGTCTTTCCAACGACATGAAATTTCGATGGAACGATTAGCAAATGGCACTTTGGTTTCTTATTTAAAGACGCTCTGAGATAATTCTCTGACAGGAGAAGTGCAAACAAATATGAACTCTCTTGTACTGCACGTTGCTGGTAAAGTAGGTACTGTTAATACAAATGCCATCAATTTTTGAGTATTCGGTGGGATGAAGGTTGAGTTTTTGATGTCAGTGCAGAGCCGGGTGAAGGTCGAAAGATTTGCCTTTGTAGTCCACTCCTACACGCTTATTCTCGCTGAGAGAGATCAAACGGTGATGGCAGGAAGACATCCTCATTTTGTAACACGAGCCTTTTGTGTCGACTTTAGGAGCTTTGACACTGCGCGGTTGTCGCTGTTATTACCTGGTATGGAATAGGGTTTTGTCCCATGACCTATCTATAATTAATTTTCTGCCAGTCCCAGCGGGGTACCTGTGAAAATGCGTCTTCCTCTGTCAGAAAGAGGTCGAGCGCTCCAGCCTCCTGTAAACTTTTGGGCAGTTCTCAGGCTCAAACCCAACTAACTGACACTATATTATGACCTATCGTGGTTGACTGGCCAGCCTCTCCTCTGCAGGTCGCTGTCCTTGAAGGTCACTGAAGTAAAAGTTTCATTGATGCGAGGCGCCAGACAAGCCTTCTGATTCAGAGCTGTTGTGGCGTTACTTACTAGACAGGAGTCGCACTGAACCATCAAAATTTGATGCAGCGCAATGGTTCATATTTTTTACTGCCTTCCATTTATTTTCTCATGCTCTCGCATGGCAGATTTTACGGGTCGCGTACAGTCGTTTACGCTGCGGATGCGATGCTGGGTCCTGGGTTTGGCGCGGCTCCAGGCCGTTCTCTGTCGCTTGTTCAAGAGGGCAAGCGACAACAACTGGTGAAAACGGCTGGGGCAGCGCTAGTTAGAAAGAGAGAAAAACACTGATGCTTTGTTTCAGTCCTTAGTCTCATACGAACCACTGCTATTTCGTTAGCCCTGGGGCTCATATGAGAGAGGGTTGACAATAATGACAAACTGAGGAGTTAACAAAAAGGTAGGGCAATAGTAATGAGGATACTTAAAGGCACTTTCCGCGATAAAATAAGGCTATGACCTTTCAAATGTGTCAGACGATCCGGAAGGAGATTGCGGAGGCTGCGCTACCTTTAGAAAGTGAAAATCGGCAAGAATTCCGCTTTAAGCTAACCAATTAGGCCCATGCCGACCCACCGGCTGCTAGCTACTAGCTAGTAGCCACTATGCTATCTCTCTCCATTCCGAATGGTGAGAGTGAGGTGATACGATAAAAGAGCTGATATCTTTATGATAACGACGAGTGGAAATTCGTACAAACATGCGTTTTCTTCATTGCATGCATGTACAAGTTGGGGTCGATATGGAATCCTATTTAGGGCATTTTCGGCTGTTTTTTGCTGCTTTTCTCCGCTAATCAGATACCTAGCCCTTTTTCGTTCCTATGTGGGTTCCGTTACCCACAATCTGTGGTCGCGGGCTTTGCCTTTAAGTGGAAGGCATGCAAGTGAAGAAAAAAACGAAGAAATAAACGAATGGACTGCGTAAGGTGAGAAAATAGTATGTACCAGCCCCCTTGGCACGCTGCAACATCCGCAGACTGCACATCTTACTATTAGCTGATTGATTCGAAGAGGTGTTATAACTCATGGGTTGACGGTCTCACTGTAATACTCTCATTGCAGTTAATCCATGACTCTTGAGGCTGCGTTTATACTTTGCGGCAGCGTAGCGTAGCGCTTCCAGCGTACGCCAGCGGCAGTGTCGGGGAAAGGATAGCTATCGATCTGGGAGCGCTAGATCGATATCTATCCTTTCCCCGACACTGCCGCTGGCGTACGCTGGAAGCGCTACGCTACGCTGCCGCAAAGTATAAACGCAGCCTAAGGCGTGTAGGATCGATACGCCTGTCAGGACGGAATTCCGCGACCCTGATCAGACGCTGCGTAGCGTCTTTTCCAAGAATGTACTCTTATAAGGCACTATCAAGCCACAACATACCGACCCACCACGCCCGCCCGCCCACAAATGGACGACCGTTCCTGATGCTCGTATTGCTTCATTTGCTAAGTAAATATGAAGCGAAGGGATTGGTATGAAGGCTGCGGTGCTGCATGGATATATGAGTACATACGTGCAGCCGTACCTATCGTAGCAGTAACTGGCAAGATGCCTATGAGAAACTACTGGTTTTTGTGAACTGTTTTCAGTGTGCCTTCCTTCGATAGATGTTTCGCTTTTGAACGAAAGCATTTGTAGACTTCATGCTGCTCACAGCAAAACTGGCCACAATTGCGCCATGAAAGCAGTTTCGCTGTTGCTGCTAGGTAAAAAACAAAGGATCTTGGCCCATTACCCCTCAAAATTATCTGTTTTGCTTGCTCATCGAGCGTAGATGCACCGCTTTATCAAGGCAGAAAACATTTTTTATGAAGGAACGTCAGCACTTTATCTACATATTTCCAAATACGGGGGTGCTTCTTATCATCACCTACTAACATTCTGAGAGAAGGAAAGAAGGGGAATGAAAATTCCCATTCGTGAAGAGGTCGAACATCTCAAGAATGTTCGGCAACCAGTCCAAACTCTCATCATCGACTACGAAATTCCATGAAGAGTCAAACTTGTACCGCTGGATCCGCTGGGTGGGAATAGCGGGATCCGTGACGTGGTGTCGGTACTACCTACAGAAGGGATTATCCATACGACCGAATGGACAGTCTCTTCTGGTGCTTAACTCTGGTTCCATATATTGATGACGCACACTTACCATAACGGCTACGTTATGATTGGCACTCTTCAGTTTTACTGTACAGCTAGACCACTTTTTCCTCTATAAAATGAGCAGAAGTCAAACGCGCTGCGCATTGCTAGGGTATGGTTCATGTCGGCGCTTATAAATTCAGAACTGAATAGTTTGGGCACTCGTCCACTATACAGGGGGCGGAAAAATACCCTTTGCTGAAGACACATCAGTGAAGAATACGCAGCCCAGGGAGAAGTGGATACGAGTACCAGGGCGGAAAATACCCAAGATGATCCTCGATAAGCAGAAGCAGGCTCTCCTCCAACACCTTCATGTACATAAATGTTGGATCAGTGATGAGCCGTGATCTTGCCAAAGGATCAAAGGCATTGTAGGCGATCGTGAATTCCATGATCGGCCTGTGATTCTGAATTCACGCTCCGCCATCTTTTACCGGTAATATATAAGGCCTTATATTTCTGGTAATAAGCAACCCCTTATTCGTTCTGTAATAAAGTCTGTATCCTATTCGTCCGTGCGGCGCGGGACACAACAATAGAAAATAACTGGAAGCCATCTCCAATCCCGCAGCTGCGACTGAGAGGCCTATGGAATTCACAGTCGCTTGCTAGACAAGTTCTTGTATCGAGTGACCGTAGACCAGCTACCTTGGGGACAGCTAACTCTGGCACTTATTTGACCCTTGAGACTGCCGCCAGCCATCCGAAATCACGCCGGTTTCCTGACGTCGACTTTTTTCTCCCGTGGCAGAAAACTTTTTCTCTGAAAAGTTGGCTCAGGCGGTAATTGGACCCACTGAACACGCAAGTATTCGCATTTGCTGACAGCCGAAACCCTTCTGCTGGCGCCCGGCGCCACGGGCGACCGCGGCACAAAGATAACTTGAAAATCAATCCAGATTCGCTGAAAACTTGCTCCTCAAGGGGTAGTTTGACTCCCCCTAGAACACCGAAATACGCATCCGCTGACCCGAAACGCTCCGCGCGCGCGCGCCACGGACGCCGGCGGCAAACATACTTGAAATCATGTCAAATATTCGGCTGAGAAACTGTGCTCCCCAGGGGTAGTTCGAGACCCGCTGAACACGAATACCGCATCCGCTTGACCCGGAAACCTCCTGGCGCCCGCGCCACGGGCGCCGGCGCCAAAATACTTGAAATCACCAAATTCGCTGAAAACTTGCTCCCAGGGGTAGTTCGACGCTGAACACGAATATCGCATCCGCTTGACCCGAAACCTCCTGGCGCCCGCGCCACGGGCGCCGGCGCCAAAATACTCGAAATCACCAAATTCGCTGAAAACTTGCTCCTAGGGGTAGTTTGACCCCCTGATCACGAATACCACTTCCATATTGCATGAAAAAATGCATGACCAACGCTTCTTCGAAAATCCCGCGCTCGCCCAGCTTTCACACGCAAGCTCGTGGGAAATGGGATTTCCCACGGAATCGTGTGGGAATTGAGTGTTTCTCGTGGTGACGTCTTCAAAACTGACCTATTAACTTGGGAAGCCCCTTTGCTCCTCATTTAGCTATTCTCATGGCTCTGAACGTACTTCATCGTACTTTAGTGATGCGTATGTTTAGGATTTCAGAGAGTATTGTTGGCGCCGGCGCCCGTGACGCGAGCGCTAAGAGGTTCCAGATCAAGCGGATGCGATATTCGTGTTCAGCAGGTCGAGCAACCCCTGGAAGCAAGTTTTCAGCGAAATCTTGGTGATTTTCGACATATTTTTGGCGCCGACGCCCATAGGCCGGGCGCCAGGAGGTTTGTGTCAAGCGGGATGCGAATATTCGTGTCCTCAGGCGGGTCGAACTACCCCATGGAGAGCAAAGTTTCAGCGAATTTGGGTGATTTCGAGTATTTGGCGCCGGCGCCCGTGGCGCGGGCGCCAGGAGGTTTCGGGTCAAGCGGATGCGATATTCGTGTTCAGCGGGTCGAACTACCCCTGGGAGCAAGTTTTCAGCGAATTTGGTGATTTCGAGTATTTTGGCGCCGGCGCCCTGGCGCGGGCGCCAGGGAGGTGTTCGTGTCAGCGATGCGATTTCGTGTTCAGCGGGTCGCAACTACCCTGAGAGGCAAGTTTCAGGCGATTCTGCCCTACGAGATTAAAGAAGTCTGGTAAGGGAACACGGCGGGTTTTCGGATTAGCTGGGGCAGTAAAGGGTAAATAGGGGACTGGCACTCTTGATCCAGACCTCTGACATCATTCAGCTCCGACAACTCGCTATGGTCGAGGATACCGTCTTCTCTACAATCGTCAGGGCGCGGGTTGATGGTATGGACCGGAAGTTCCTGGAATGGAAAGACCGACACCTCGACCTTCGTGGAACACGGACTGAAGATGGATAGGGCTGACTGTTACATCGGACAGCTCGAGGAGAATATCCTGCCTGTCGCCTGCACCGTCTTGGAAACTTCGTACTGCTACAAGATTGGGTGCCAGCACATGGAATCGAAAAACTCTGCCTACTTGGAATCGAAGGGCGTTGAGTACCTGAAGAAGAGGGAATATCCAAGTGTGTCATCTGACTTAAACTAACTCAATTGCCGGGTTCCGCAGGAGCAACAGGGTCCTACAATGATGGAGAAAGCAACGATCTCTGTGGTCAGGCACCGAATCACCTTTTGTAAAGAAAGACCCGTTGTAAAGAAAATTGAGGGGAAAAGAAATCAGTGCTACCTCCTGATGTTGGTAGGTCGTTCCTATTTAGGCGCTGTTTTTCTGAGAGGGCGAGCGCTCTCGTAACTCTGGAAGAGAAGCGCCCTACTTACCTTCTAGCCCTGTTCTCAAGCTGCGTTTGGGCAAATATCCACAATCCATGTGGCTCTGAAGCCTTTCTTTGCATTTTAGAGCTTTTCATACATTTAAGAAAGAAGCAGTGTGAGAGCAAAGCCGTAACATCTCCTAGATCTGAAAATCCTTGTGTAGAACTG